AAAAAAAAAGGCTTGGCAACGACCCTTGTGGTTACGGGTTCGCTTCGAACGCACCGCACGCACACGACAGCGACCTCGTCGGTACATCTTGAATGCCAAGAACTCCCAGGCACCTGCATGGTTCGATGGCCTGTTCGACAGATCCATTCAAGGCCCGCTTCAAGGGACCGCTGAAAAAAAAATGTCGGATAGCGCTTCGGCTTCGGATCAGGGGCGCCTTGGTGGTTGCCGCCCTGGCTTCGAGTACTTAAACCCACCTTGCGTTGACCATCTTCTTCATGTCCCTCTCATACTCGGAACATTTGCGAGAAGAAAAGATGGTGCGATTCAGCAAGATCGGTAGCCAGGTGGCGGTGGTTTGCGCTGCGGTGCTGGTGGTTCGTACGGGCGCGCAGTCGATCACGACGGCCGTGACAGTCTCGGGCACGCCCACAACTACAGTCATCGCACCTTCGCCCACAGGACGAGGGCTGTGCGACTTCCACATCGACCACTGGGACTGCGACGCCAGCCAGCCCGAGGCCACCGCCAGCGCAACGCAGAGCGCGGCGGCTATCGAGCCGTCACCGGTGGGCCAGTTGTGCGAGCTGCACGTCGACCACTGGCACTGCGACTCGCCCACTGCCACTGCCGCCAACGCTGCCGCAGAACCAAGCCCCACCGGTCAGGGTGCCTGCCACCTGCACGGGGACCACTGGCACTGCGAAAACGAATCCGCCGACGAACATGAAGGTCATGATCACTCGGAAGACAGCCATGCCGGTCACAACCACGGCGGATCGCATGCGGGTCACAACCATGGTCCTTCCGCCGAATACGGCTGTGGACTCGCTCCGCCCGCTCCGTACGATATGAGCTTGCACATCGCGTCGATCTTCATCCTTCTGGCCGCCAGCGCGTTTGGTGCCTACCTTCCCATCCTGCTCTACTCCAAGACCGGGGCCAAGAGGTGGGGCCTATGGGCGAACGAGTTCTTCTTCATCTGCCGCCACTTTGGCACGGGCGTGATCCTCAGCACCGTCTTCGTGCACCTGCTCAGCCATGCACTCATCTACTGGAGCAACGAGTGCATCGGCGAGCTGACGTACGAGGCTCCTGCACCTGCCATTGCTATGGCGGCCGTATGGCTCGTCTGGGTCATCGACTTTTTCCTGCTGCGATCGCTGCGAAACCGCTCTGGCTCAGCGCGCACCTGCACCCACGAGATCGAAGACGCAGTGGACACCAAGGAGACTTCTTCGGCTGGGTCGGTCGAGGGCGAGGAGCGCTTTGGCGGGCTCACGTACGCACAGGCAAAGGTAGCCGAGTGGGACGTCTTCGCCATCGAAGCCGGCATCATCTTCCACTCGATCCTCATTGGCGTCACGCTCGGCGTTGCGACCGGGTCCGGATTCGTGGCTCTGCTCATCGCCATCGTCTTCCACCAGACATTCGAAGGTCTCGCTCTCGGATCTCGACTCTCGCTGCTCGTCTGGCGTGGGGTGGGCACGAAGCTGCTCATGGCTACCATGTACGTGCTCACCACGCCTGTGGGTATCGCCATCGGCATCGGAGTGCGCGAGACGTTCAACGGCAACAACTCGACCACACTCATCGTGCTCGGCACGCTATACTCGGTCAGCGCCGGTATCCTGCTCTACACTGCACTCGTCGAACTGCTCAGTGGCGATTTCATTCACAACCAGCAGATGCAGCGCGCCTCGCTGGCTCGTGCCATCGCCGCTGTTACCGCTGTCACCATCGGCGCAGCTGCCATGTCCGTCCTCGCAAAGTGGGCTTAGAATCATCCTCGTTGCTCTGGTTTACGATTTTACTTTTCAATGCGATGGTTTGCGGCTGTGAAAGAGGAACGTCAGCCGACGAATTGTGAGCACGGGGAATGGTGGGTGAGAAGGACGTACCGAGATCACTTGCGCCCTGGAAGGTGTGTAGTGCCACCTCTCTGCACGCACGCACCTTGAGACTCGCCAACGCATCCACCACATTGTACAGCGTCGGGAGCTGGTCGAACGATCCACGCTTCACGCTGAGCTTGACTGCGCCCTCGCAGAACTCATGTGTTCCCTCGGCTTTTTGATCCGGTTGCACCTGGACCACCGCTGGGCACACTTCATCGCCGCCACGGCTCAAGGGCGGAGCTTTGAACTCCAGCACCTTGGGCGGGCCAGGTGGGGGAGGGCAGAAAGTGGCGTAGTCCGCATCGCTCTTTCCGGGCTCTCCCACTGCCGGAACATAGCGCTGGTGAAGAATCCCATCCTTGGTCGGATGCGTATACCTCCTCGCATCCGGCTTCAGCGCAGGACTGTTCTGCACCGCATACGCAGTGAGCTCCATCTCGAGGCGGAGAAACTCGAATCCGCCCCATGCCAGAGTATGCACTCTGCTTTCCACCCCTTCCTTCTGGGAGACGATGGCGTTGGGGATTTCGGCGTAGACCTTTGGAAAGCCGAGTTCTTCGCGGCCGGTCGTGATGGGATCGGTAAAGTTCTCGAACAGCACCGCCATGTACGACGCCGTAATAGCAGGCTGTACGCGATTGCACACGATATCGTTGAGGTAGACGCCGAGCGTGTTGTACCCGCGCCCCGCGAGCCAGGGCAGATTGCGAAGCTCCATGACTTCGAACAGCACCGTTGGGTGCGTGACGCTGTCCGAGACCGTGTAGCCGGGAGGAAGCAGTGCTTCGACGCACTCGCGCTCCACCTCGACAACTATGCCTACCATCCCCCAACGAACGTGTCAGCACCGGGGATTGCAGGCAGGAATCACGAGGTTGGACTTACCGACGGTGGTGGTGCGGGCTTGCGACCAGTCGAATCGGCTCCCATCAGGTGCTTGGCGCGGCGAAGGTGCCGGTCCGAACCCAATCGGCGCGCGGTGGATGCCCTTTCTCGTCGTGCTCATCGTGGAGAACAGCCGACTCTGCAGCAATTTAGAGAAGACTTGGGAGGGATCAGCTGGTTTATATAAGATGGACGAGGGCACGGTGATGCGGGGAGCGCTGAAATCGAGGTGGGGTTCGGCAAGTGTGGGGAAACCCAGTAGCGCCGCGGAGATTGCCGCCATCTTTTCCGAACGTTGACCCCGCCGGGACTAGTCGGCCGGCCATCGTCCTTCTCAGTTCAGACGACGGCGCATGCTTAGAAGCAACATTAAGCCATTGGACCCCTTTTGCCACCCTGACCAACATTCAACGATGCAGCACGCTATGCTGACTTGCTCATACACTCCTCATCGCATGCTTGTCACTGGCAGACACTGTATTTCGACTAAACACGATCTCGACATCTTACTCCTGACCGGGGAAGCCGTGATCGCTGAGCTGCTTTCCATCGATGACGATCTGCTTGGACGAGAGCAGAATAAATGCGATCCTGGTCCACTGATTCGTGTTGTTCCTCCACAGATGGTTGGTACCCCTCTGAACGCACGTATCGCTCTGTCGAAGCGTCCTCTTCTCGCCCGAATCGAGCTCCAGCTCCACCTCGCCAAAGATTACGATCCCGTAATCCAGCGTCTGGGTGCGGTGCATGGGGCTGCAGCATCCAGGAGGGATATCGACAAACCTCACCACGGAGCCGTCGTCGTTATGCGACCTGCCCGAGAAAATCGGCTTCTTGGCTCCATCTCCCGGCAGCGTGTTGTCAATCGGCCACGAATTCGTACTCCACATGACCTGCATTCCCAAAATGTCAGCATCTTGTAACGAAATAGCGGGGTGACAGGAGGGAGGACTTACTGCAAAGTGGGCGTGCTCGGGAGTGCAGTCCAGACGCTCGATCTCGTCGTCCTTGTCGATGATCGAGACACCTTGAGCATCGTGTCCCGTAACAATGCGACGGATACCCCCAACAGGAGCTCCTTCGGCAGACTGAATGGCCATGATGAATTGTTGGAACAAAGACTGAAAAGCGATTACGAGATGGGTGCAGGTGGGGAGAAAGGAACGCACAGCACAGGCAGGATTGAAGCTATTTATTCCTCCAGGACATGCTGCGAGGCAAGTCTGAGCTCGGCAGACAGCATCGCAGCCGCAGCTTGGGGGTCCAGCCGGAGGGATTGTGCAGCATGCGCGGTCGTGGTGGAGAGAGTGTGGGGTCGAACGCCGGGCCAAGTGGGGGCGACACCCCCGCAAACCCCGCTTCGGCTCACCGACACAGAGCTGACGATCCGCTTTCCCGATTGCCTTTTTTTTTGGACCCTTTTTTTTCCGGAGATACTTTTTTTACTCGCCGACAAAGGGAGAGCTCATATGAAGTCAACCGCGACGGGTTCTCGGCATCGCTGATGATGTATGATGGAGCAGAGGCTTGCCCGCAACAAAGTGAGATCGAGCACCCAAATGGAGATCACTGCGATGCCTACTTTTGTTCGGGCAAAGTCAAAGCGATCGTTGGTAGATCCGGAATCAGATCCTGAAACGACGATGAAGGCATCGAGATGAAGGTGAGACCCGAGCCCTGTTCCAGATGACATGCTGATTGACATGTCAGACGATCTGAACGCCACGTGAGGATCAGCTCGGGTCGTTTCAACCTCGGATTCGAGACGAACTCATGCGTGGATCAGCTACCCAACCTCGCGCCTTACTCGATCGAGTTCTTGCTGCCATGCTAGCTCCGGCAAAGCTTCTTTCGAAGAACTTGTTCTGACATGAAGCCCACCTAGATGGATACTCCTGACACTATCATAGCAGCTCGGATGCTGCTTTTGTAATCTCGATGACCGCATCATGTAGAGCTTGGCTGTAGTGCCAGGCTTGTGAGCAGCATGCTTATAGCGTCTGGCGCCGGTCGCTACAGCCACTATGCCTGCCCGCATGGCGTTGGAGGATGCTTGAGCGAGAGCCAAGGTAGCCAGATCGAGTAGTCGGGCGCAGCTTGGCGTCTACAATGAGACTCCGGCTGGCAAGATATAAATCTACACCTCGCAATCGTCTGCCGTATCTTGCCCCCTCCCTCGCTCTTGACACATCTGTCCAGCCTTGCTCGTCTTCTGTCCCCTCCTCCATCGAGCCTTAAGCATCGGGTATGAAGCTTTGCATGAGACTGCCACTCCTGGCTTCGGCCGCCTTGATGGTGATGCCGACGCTGGCATTCCCCAACCTCGGTGCCATGATGGCTCCCGGCCCCAACGGCGCGCCTTCGCACTTCGAGAAGCGTCTGCTCTCCGCGGACCCATTTCAGCTGGGCGACCTGATCAGCGACCTCAAGAGCAAGGTCTCGGAGCTGACCAAGGAGGCCAAAGTGAACGATGCAGGCGAGCTGCTCAACACCAAGATCACCGACATCACTGCGGAGAAGATCTACGCGACGTTTGGAGTTCGACGCGATGGTGGGCTTCTTCCACCTGCCGAGGATGCTGCACACCCCTGGCAACCACCGCCTCAGGGAGCCAAGCGAGGCCCGTGTCCGGGTCTCAACACCATCGCCAACCACGGCTACATTCCACGAAGCGGAGTGGTGAACCCCATCGAGCTGCTGGTTGGCACGTTCAACGGGCTGAATCTGAGTCCGGATCTGGCGGCCATCCTTGCGGGGATCGCATTTGTGGGGATGGGCGACTTGCTGCAGATGAAGCTCTCCATCGGAGATCGATACGGTCTCGGAAGTGGACTTAGCCACCACGGCATTATGGAAGGCGATGGATCGGTGACCCGCAAAGACCACTACTTTGGAAATAGCTGGGATGCAGACCCGCAGTTGGTGGCGCAGTTTATCAACGAGACCAACACCTACGGCAACGGTAATGTCGACGTTATCTCCCTCGCCCACTCTCGCTATCGTGCTTGGGACGACAGTCGCCACAACAACCCGGATTTCGACTTCAACCCATGGCGTATGCTGGTTGCGTACGGCGAGAGTGGGTTTGTGCACGAGGCACTTCGAGGTTCGTCGGCCAAGTTTGACGAGTGCATGATCAAGAGCTGGTTCCTCAATGAACGATTCCCCGAGGGCTGGAGCAAGCGACTCGTTCCCGTATCGACGCCCGAGATTCTTGCGTGGGCAGGCATCATCGAGCTTGCCAAACCGACCATCCCGGGCTGGAGCGTAGGCAAGAAGGGCGCCTTTGTGCCTCTGCCAACCACCGACGCTGCGTACAAGGAGCTCGCCTCGCTCATCGACCCCAAGACCTCCGGAGCTACACTGGGAGAGCTTGTGTGTGCGGCCGGTAATGCCGTGCTGGGCTTCTTCCCAACGCCCATCACCAATCTGCTCGGCAACTTTGGCATCAACGGCGTCGGCTCCACCCTCAAGTGCTAGATCTATGCCATTTGAACGAATTGTCTGTACATATCACCTCTAGTCTCTACTAATACATGTGCTTCGATCACACTTCAACCGATGTGCTATCGTATCGGGTCGGCCGTCGTGATGGGAGTGTGACTCGAGGAGGTTGGCGGCTGAGCCGTTCCGAGACTGGCGAGGGTGATTTTGACAGGTTGACAGCGTTCGGTCGGGAAATCGGATGCAGGTGTGACTTTTGGGAATTTTCGCCCCCCGCACCTGCGCAACCGACTCAGCCATTTTTGTGACGGCCAAAAGAAGAGGCGGGAGAGAGACCCTGGCTAAGTGATCCAAGCGCAGCAGTCAGGGTTCGTGTCCAGCCTTTCCTTTAGCTCTAGCTCATCTCGGAAGCTGCTCAATCCCTCCATCTTTCCCATCATCCTCACCAGCCACATCAGAAACGGTCGAAGTTCAGTCGGCTTTTCCGCAAAAAGCTGACAATGATGACCGCCTCGGAAGCTCCGGTGCGCCTGGACGTGCAGCTGCTCAGTCGCGCCTCGAGTGCGGACGTGGTGGAATACTTGCGCGACCAGCTGCGGCTGCATCCCGAGCCAGCCGTGCGTCGCTCGGTGCTTCACTTCATCACAATCGATGCTGTGCCGCCGACCATCTCGCGCATCTGGCTCGAGACGGCGCGCGAGCCCGATACACTCCGCGAGGCACTCCATCAGAATCACTCGGCGTTGCTCCGAAGCCAGGCCATCCGCCGACTCGCAAGCGTGCTGCGTGGCACGCACTGGAGAGCCACCTGGGATGCGCTCGGCTCGACCGAAGGCATCGCTCAACTGCTCTCACGCTTCTCTGTCTGTCACATCCGCCAGGCAACAAAGGCGATCGGACGCAACGTCAAGGGCATCGACGCTCATCACAAGGCGCAAAAGAGGCAGGCCATCTCTGAGCTGCTCCTCCACCTCGTTCCCTCGATCCGATCCTCCTCCTACCAAGCCTCGACCCAAGCTGGAAGTTCTCCGGAAAAGCGCGACCTCATCAAAGCCTACGCTGATCTCTTGCCTGCATGCACTCCCGAATTGGTGCATCGTGTGCTCTTCGATGCCGCGCACGGTGTGCCCCTTCACGGTCCTCAGGCCACTCTGCTTCGAGAACACCATCAGGTCTTCCTCGATCGCGCCTCGCAGCCTGGATCCAACATCTTCGAGTCGAACTGGGCGGATCACGCTTCGCATCGACTGGAGGTGGTCTACGCTGTCGTCTTTCCCGCCGCTGGTCAGCACGACTTTGGCTCTGTGAAGCCATTCCTCTCACTGGCTCTCTCCAGTCTTGTCAAACAACTTCCCACATCCTCCAACTCGCTTCGCAGAGTCAGGCAGAAGTATGCCGGCCCGCTCTCCAACCTTCTCCACAGGCTCGTTGCCTGTCCTCATTGGTCGCTGCACGATCGCCGCGCTGCATTTGACCTCATCCTCGATACCCTACAAACCCACTCCAAAGACCATTACACTATCAGAAATGTTCTGTGGGAGCAAGCGGCTCAGCTCTGGGCCGAATCGCCCGAGCTCTTCCAGCCTGTCCTTCTTCGCGCTCTCAACATGGCTTCCCGATCTCCGCGCTACCTTTGCTTCTCGCAGGTCCAATCTAGCGTCCCCTCAATCAAGAGGTGGGAGCTGCTCAAACTCATCCAGCGCTCGGATCCCGTCTGTCCAATCGACCTCGACCAGGATGCCGGACTCAAGGAGCTCCTCACCCATCGCAACGCCAAGCGCTGGTCTTTCGGCATCTTCCAGGCTCTGCCCCCACAGCAGGCTCTCAAGTTGCTCGAACGGCTCGCCGTTCATTTGCCCCGTGACGAATTGATCTCGATGGGTGGAACATCGGGCTACTCGATACTCGGCGTCGGCTCGGAACACGGCTATCTCGATTTCGACATGGCTCGCTTCGAGCTCGATCCTTCCGTCGACGCGCAAGAGCGATCCAAGTGCTCAAACGATGCCATCGAAGAACGCAAGCGCAAGATCGCAAACAGCTCCGATCCCGACGATCGCGAGACTCTGGCGCGTCAGGCTCTCTGCTGGGCCACCTGCAGCCGCTCGTACGAGCTCTACACCAATACCGTCGTGTGGATGCGCCGCTTCGTTCGCGATGTCCACGTCGCCCGCTCCATCTTCACGGCGTGGGCCATCCATACAAAGGAGGCCACCTCGCTTCTCTCGGGAATTCCGCAGCGACCCGATGCCTCGCTGACAGTCGACACGGTGCGCAACGACATCGTCCAAGCCAATCGCGCCATCTGGGAGTGGTTCGAACTCGTGCGCGCAGCAGCTCCTGAACCCAGCTTCAAAGCAAGTGACTTCACAGGTGCCAGCTTGATCATCCTTGTTGTCGTCATCGAACGCATGCGTAGGATCGAGCGTCTGCAGGCTTGCTTGGGACTTGACGCAGATCAGATCTCGGCGCTCGTATGGGATGACACGGTCAGCCTATTGATACGCATCGAAGAGATCTGCATCGACCCAGCCTTCCGTCGTCTCGAGCTGTACGACATCGCCGGTCCCCTCGCCATGCGTGCCAACAACTACGCACGCTCGTTGCCTGGCATCCACGTTCGCACCATTGCCGGACTCTCCTTTGTTGAGAAACTTCACGCAGCCAGAGATGCGCTTTGGAAATCCCATCGGATCTCACTCAACCCCTCGGTAGCGAGCCTTCCTCGCGGTGTTCCTCACGGCCTGCCACTTCACGTGGCTCCAGTCATGTGGAACTTGGACCAAGTCCTTCCTCAAGCTGCCGCAAGCCCCTTGCTGCGAACAGCGCGATCTATCGTGTTCGCCGAGCCTCAAACAGCCATGCAGCCGCTACCGGACGACGAGGAGACACTCGATGCTATTGGGGGACACCATGAGGACTGGGCTTTTGCATTGCTCCTGCTGCTCAAGGCTGAACAGGGCAAAGCTGCAAAGCTTCAGCTTATGAGAGAGGCGTGGCTTCACGCTACTCGCAAGCTTGCAGACTCGAGGCTCTCGCGCGACGAAGCGGAAACATGGTGGTTAACAGAGGTCTTTGAGCCTGCCGCCCGCAAAAAGATGTTTCCGAATCCACGAAAATTCGCTCAATGCGCTCCAGCTCTGCAGTTGCCAGACGCGCTTGCACCGGACGCTGTGACATGGGCTCCAAACGCTCTCTTGGTGCAAGCCCCCAAGCGCTCACAGAAGGCACCCATGACTGTCCTCGACACCATAATCGGCCAGGATGTGCTTGGCGGGCTTCAAGACGGCAGCCTCTGTCGGTCTGCCTCTGCTTCGGAGAATCGTAGCTGGAATCGCAGCGACGCGCTGGAGAAGCGAAGGCAAGCTGTACAAGCGTTGAAGGCGGGCATCGTCGGGTCCGGCCCCCGCAACCAGCCTAGGGAGACCGTGCGGAGCTTTGTGGAGGCGCATGCTGCGTTGCGTCTGCTCCTGCTGGACCACAACTGCCCTGATGGCGACACTTTGGAACTGCCGTTCCCCAGTCAGAACCAGGTCCGATACCCGCAACTGGTGCTAAGCGAAGCATTCCTGAAGACACCCGAGTCGAAGCTGGGTCTGGACCAAGACGTGCGACAGTGGCTAATGCCCGTGGTGAGCATCGCACCGCCATCACTCTTGCGACGCTTGGCTGAACGGGCACTTGCTGCGCGAGCAGACGGGCGTTTGCCAAAGACGTCGCGTCTGGCTCTTGACCTCGTGCTGTGCCTGCAGGCGGGCGACCGACCACGTGAGGCGCTGCCACTGGTGCTCAAGATCGTGCTCGAGAACAGAGACGACAGCTCGTGGCACCGCATTCTCTTCTCCAAAGGATACCTCGAAAGACTCTGCGCTCAAGACGCCCGGGATGCGGTGCAAGGCCTGGCGCGCGAGATCCTCGCCCGCACTGGGGTCCCCAGCACGCAGCCGAACACGGACGGGCCGAGCATCAAGGTCTCGACGGTCAAGCTGCTTGCCCAAGCCATGGAGGGAGCCGAGTATGTCGCTCCGTCGGACGCTATCGAAATTCTGATGCAGCTACTGGATCGCGCCAAACACGCCGACATTCGTCACGCCGCTCTGGAGGCGTTGCTCGCATCTGTTTGCGGGCGACCCAGTACGTCGGACGCTGCGTCGACAGCGCTGCGAGATGGATTGCAAAGGCTGGTTCCGATCTTGGCTGCGCTGGACGAGACGCGACCGGAGGAATCGGCTCTGCCATGGGCTGAAGGGGCCCTGCCGCACATCTGCGAGGGCCCAGCAACGGCTCGAAAGGACGTGGTGGGGATGCGCCAACTGCCGCGAACTTGGGAGCTTGTGATGAACGCACTCTCGACCTACAAGGCGTGGGCCGCTGTGCTGATGCAGACGGTGGTAGTTCCGGCGATCGAGCAGTCAATCGAACTGCACCGACGATGGCTGGATCGCTTTCTGCGCGAGCACGACGCATCGATCGAGAGTGTGGCGCTGCCAGTGCCTCCAGTCAAGGTGCAGATCCTGAAGAGGCTGGTGCGGGAACACGCGTATTTGACGCCCGACTGGATGGTGCAGCTATACTGCGACTATCTGCGGGCTCTCGTTAGTCCGACAGCCAAAGTGCGCGAGATCAACCGTGCTCTCAAAGAGAGGCAGGACAACGCGGCGAGGCACTGGTTGGCCGCATACGAGACGCCGGCCGTCTCATCGTCGTCGCACGATTGGCAGCTGGGATCACTGCCATTCCTTTCGCCGTTCGTAAAGAGCCTCGTGGAAGGCGCGCCTGAGGATGTCGACGTGGTCGAGATGGTGCGAAGCCACGCCGAGAGCATCGATGCAGCGTCTCGAGCGGTGCTGGAAGCGATGGAGATCGTGCTAGAGGTGAAGCGCGTCGACTTGGCCGCGCTCCGCTACTTGCTGCAAGCGCTAGCTCCGCCGCCGAGGAAGAGCGCACGGATAGCGGTCGCACAGATGCGCGCCTGGACGCGGTGCGTGCGACCGATTTTGGCGGAGATGGTGGAGAGGATCGATGCGCTGCGCACGCCAGCGTGGCAACGCAATCCCGAGCGTCGACCGGCAAGGCTGCCGAGCACTTTGGAATACCGGCTGTGGCTGCTACCGTATCCGTCGTGCGACGAGGCGGAAGGAGCGACCAAACTCGCACAGCAATGCCGCGAGTTTGGTCAGGCGCTGGGGGAACATATCGAGATGTTGGTGGCGCAAGCGGTGCCTTGCCACGAGGAGATGGAGCGGCTGCACCAAGCGGCGATGGGATGTCCCGCCAAGCAGCGGGGCCTGATTGCGACGGCCGTGGGCGTATGGCACGGAGAGGAACTTCCGGACGCGACGAGCCGCATGCTGGTGCGGAGTCACTGCATCGATCTTGCGGCCAAGCTGGTGTTTGCCGCCGAGCTGCCTGGCGAGAGCGAGGCGTGGCTGGGGGAGCTCAAGAGTATGGTGGAAGGGTGGGCGCGGAGCGAAGTCGAGTGGATTCGCGAGAGGGCGCAAAGGCTGGCGGTGCCAGATCTGGACTTTTTGGAGTATGCCGACGCTGCGATCGGCGATGTGGTGCGTGCGGTGGTGCCTCACGAGGAGGAGCCTGACGAGTTGGAGATATGGTGACGGGACAGAGGGAGGCTTGAACCGAATGCTGATGTGAATGCCAGAAACATGCCGGTGAGCTGTGACTGTAGCGAGTGTGATCAGTACAATGTGATTTGAGAGAGAAGCGCCGTGTAATCACACTGAGTCGACGCGCAATGGTGGGGAGCGGTGGGGAGCGGTGAGTGGCGAGGCGGGAGTGGGGAAGTGAAGTGGGGGCGGGCGGCGGCGTGGGAGATTGTGACTTGCTATATCACCACCATGTGGTGTTGCCAAAGTGGGTTGAGCGCTTCTCATTGCGGAAAAGCCGAAGCGATCTTGAGCTTTTTACCATGAGCTCATCCACTCCATCCACTGCAGCCAGCGGCTCGCGAGGTCGGGATCGAGGTCGAGGACGCGGAAGAGGCGGTCGTAAAGGCATTGGCACAAGGTCAATCGGTGGCCCAGAGCTAAGGGCAAGAACGCTAGCTGCAGCAGCTGCTGCATCTGCATCGAATCAATCATGCGCCGCGGGTCCTCATCGCTCGGAAGAGACCGTTCATGCAGCTACGGAGGCGACCCAGTCACGCAGCTCGTCGCTAACATCGTTGACATCCTCGACGCCGTCTATCGAATTCGTCTCGCCGCCAGCTTCACCCCCCAACACCAACAATCGCGAAGTCATCACCATCTCGTCGTCACCCAGCCCTCCGCCATCGAGACAATCCACCTCCGACAACGAGTCGAGCTCGGACGAATCGTCCGATGCACCACGCCATCTCGGCATCACGCAACTTGAGGCAAGCCGTTGACAAATGGACCTCAAGAAAAGCTCGACCTTCCAGGATCCGCGCTGGTTTGAGCCGTCGAGTTACGATGCAGCTCGACCTGCAGGAGGGGATGAATCGGCTCTATAAGATCGAGCCACCCGATTCTTATGCATCGGAGGATTTTTGGCGCCAACACCCGGTTCGGTCCATGCAGCTCGGTAGCAGCCCAGAAAAGGAGAAAAAAAGGAAAGTTGGGGCGGCGCGTAAAAAAAAGCTCCGAGTTTTTCGAAGCGAAGAAGCCGAAGCTGCAGCTGCCGCCACTGCACTCATGCATGCACTCATGCACTCGACAGCTTTCACCAGCCCAAGCAGGACAGCACGACGCCGACTGACGGGTCTTGCATCAATCTCGCACCAACCTATACAGCGCCGCGGACTTGTGCACGGACAAGACGCAACGCACAGCCGGCTGCATTCATCACGACGACAGCCCTGACCGGCGCAACGACTTTAGTGCGGAGAGCTGAGACACTCCAATTCCGGCCAGCCCCTCTCCCCCCGTCGGAACGGATGGCGCTATCAGCAGTGCGCAGCACTGCGCAGCATTCAGTCCCGCAATTCCGAGCCGTCGCTGTCTCGACCAAGTGTCGATAAGTATTGGCCATGCCCCTTTCTTCCCTCCTAATCTCCAACCCCGCTAGCCCCTCTCCCCCCGCTCATCCCGCCAGCTGGTAAGGTTTGACTGCAACATGCCAGCTACGCCACACATGCCAGGCTACGATGCCGTCGCCGTCCCCGTGCTCGATAGCACGCTCGGAAACACGGACATCATGACACGCATCTCGCTCACCTTTCCCACGCAGCTCTCGATCGCCCTCCTCCAAGACTCGTGGTACGAGCTGGTGCGCGCGTGGCCGATCCTCGCCGCACGCGTCCGTCACACGCCCTCGACTCCATCTGGCCTTTCCTTCCTAATCCCGCAGCCCGGAAAGGTCAAAGAGCTTGAACAGCGCTCGCGCACGACGCTCAAGGATGAGGAAAAGCACATTGTGATCGTCGATGCATCCTCGCGCTCCATTGCGAGCTTTCATCCGATCGCAGCCAAGGCGGTCGAGTCGAGCTTCAGCAGGGATACCGTCAGCGTCGGTGCAGCACCAGGCAGCGCTGATAGCCTCAAGATGACGTGCTCCAATGCAACGACGTCGCTAAAGCAGCTGCTCGGCGCGGATCAGGCGTACATCACCGCACAGGCTACCGTCTGGAGCGACGCCACCACCATCACGCTCGCCTTCAGCCACATCGCAGGAGACGCTTTCAGTGTCAAGGCGATCTTTGAGGCGTGGCGACGCACGATCGAGTCGACAGCACCTGCTCCGCTCCAGGGCATTGGCGTGGACCCGTTCATCGCCTACCTCCCTCCGCACGGCAAGAAGAGCAAATCCGAAGACACAGAGAAAGAGAAGCAGGCCGAGCGGGATGTTGGGCTGCCACTGGGTTTCTTCCAGTACGGCTTTATCGACAAGGTAAGGCTCGCCTGGAACCTGATTTCGGACATCAAGATCAAGCGGCCGGAGAAGGAGTTTGGCCAGTACTACATGTACATGCCCGCGGAGAAGGTGGAGGCTCTCATGGTGCAGGCGCGTGCCGACGTCGATGCGCTCGTGTCGGCGTCAGACGACAGCGAGAAGCAAGCGCTCGATACGCGGATTAGCACGTTCAACGTGCTGCTTGCGTGGCTGCTGCAGAACATCCATGCGGCGAATCCGAAGCGCAAGCGCATGAGCACCGTCATGACCATTGTCAATGCCAAGACGCGACCGCCTGCTCGACACGATCCCTCCGACTATCCTCCCCACCAGCTATGGGGCGGAGCACTGGGTGTGCCGCTGGAACCCCTCGCTTCGGGAGACTATGCTTCGCTGCCATTGGGTCAATTGGCGCTGCACATTCGCACATCGCTCACTGCGCAGATCGACCCCGAAAATATGCAGGCGAACATTGTGACGCTTCTCCGCCACACACTTTGGGCCAAGCCTTCCGGAAAGCTCGTATTTTTTGCACGACCGAACCACTACCTCTCCGGCTGCACCGAGTGGCGCTCTACACGATTTGGCGAGGTGGATTTCGGTGCTGCTGCGGCCCCTTCCTCGAGCGTAAAGCCGGTTGCGATTGGGACCGATATGCAGATCGGCGTGTCGAAGCGCAACCGCTGGGTGATTTTTGGCGAGATGGGTGGCGGCGTGTGGTTCTCGGGATTCATGACGCACAAGGAGGCCACGCACAGGGATGGGTTTGGAAGGTACCACCATGTGCAGTAGTCTTTTCCCCGCAGTAACAGGGTTTTGATGCACGAATCTTTAATCTCCGTCAACCTTTGCACTCTGCCTGAGGGAAGTAAGCGCCAGTATCGAAGTTTGAGTTTCGTTCACGCAGGGGCGGAGCGCCGCAATGGACACAGTGCAAGAGGGAGCTGGCCTTGTTCGAAACCGCGATCTGATTTCCTGGCGCTGGGCGTTGGCATTCAGAGGGCTGATCCGGCCCGACCATGTCTCTTGCCACACACGCTACGGCAGTCTTGACGCACGTGGCTCACTTGTGCGCTGCTGCCAATGCTCAGTGATCGGCGTCGGGCTCGTTTCGACACACTCTTGCGCAGAAATCGACGACCTTGACAAAGCCGCCTTGTCGAGCCTGACAGCGGGCAGATTGGTCACGGCTCGTTCGTCTCTTCGAAAAAAAGCAAGCGCCTCCCTTCTATTTACAATGCGCGAGGGCTCCAAAGCTACCGGATCAAACAAGGCTCTCGGAAGGAGATGGGCTTTGGCCGTTCGACTCGTTCTTCTCCTCCAACACGGCCTGGCTCTTGATAAAGTCCGGCAGCGGAAGATCCTTGAGCAGCAAGGTGGACAGGAATCCGATGATGGCGAGCGGGACGAACAGCCAGAACGAATCCGAAATCGCATCGGCATACACCTTCTTGACCAGCACCTGCAGCTCTTTCGGCAGATACCTCAGCGACTCTGCAAAGGCGATCACCGTGAAATCGTCCAAACCCAGCGGGTTGAGTTGCGCATAGCTCGGTCGCAGGTTCTTGGCTGCTTGCGTGGCGAAGATCGTGGTAGCCCCAGTGATGCCCCACACCGCACCGAATGTTCGCGAAAAGGCATAGGCGGCCGTGGCTGCTTCCAGCCTCTCCACGGGTAGCGAGGCCTGAATCGGCGGCAGCGTGATGGGGAACATGATCCCAATCCCTGCTCCAGCGATGATTTGAGAAATAACCCACTCGGCTTTGGATGTTCCCACCGACCAGTGGGTAAGCCAACCGACGCCACCAGCCATGAGCGCCCATCCGAGGAAGATGAGATTTTTATACCGCCCGGAGATGCTGATGATCAGTCCGGCGACCAGCGCAAGGGGGGTGGAGGGTGCAGTTAGGGGGAAGGACCAAATTGCCGATTCGAGGGGTGTCCGGTCTTTGATCGCCTGAAAGTAGATGGGCACCATGTAGATGATGCCGTAAAAGATGACGCCGTGCAAAAAGGTTTGCAGGTACGCCACTGCGGCGGTGCGATTGGCAAACAGGTCGCGTGGAAACACGGGTTGCCTACACAGCGGTCCTGGAATCCACTCCACCATCAAGAACGCCAGAAGTCCGATCAGGCCCACCACCAGAGGCACCCAGACTCGGGGATCTGACCAGCGATACTTGATGCCGCCCTCGGTAACGGCGATGAGAACGGCCGTTACCGATCCAAACAAGACTGCGTTACCCACCAGATCGAGCTTCTCCCACTTCTGTCTTCCCGTCAGCAGCGGCACGCGGATGTTGAGGAACAACACCAGCATCACCAGCGCCACGGCCCCAATGGGCAAGTTGATCCAAAAGATCCACGGCCAATTCGAATGACTAAACACCCCACCCAGCACGGGAGCAATGAACCCGGCCACGGCAAACACGAGTGCGATCAGGCCGAAGTAGACTCCCCGTTCGCGGAGCGTGGTGAGATCGGACATGATGATCTCCGACAGCGCGTGTATACCTCCACCGCCCAACCCCTGTACACCGCGTCCGACCACCAGCACCAACATGGTCTTGGCCGTCGCACACACCACCGACCCCACCAGAAAGATGATCAGCGCAGCGTTCACCGAGTTCTTGCGTCCCAGCGAGCAGCTCAGCCCTCCAAAGATCGGCTGCGAAGCAACCATGGGTAGCAGAAATGCAGAGGTCACCCAGTTGGCCGCGATCGAGGATGGTGGCAAAGCAGCCACAATCGCAGGCAGCGCCGTCGAAATCATCGTCATGTCCAGCGCTACCAAGTCTAATCGTCAGCAAATGCTTCAAAGCGCGCATGAGGATGGGTGGGAACGCACCAGCTAGAAAGGCAATCAGCATCAGCGCTGCAAAGATCGTCCAGAAGCGCCAGTCCTTCTTCATCCGAGGCCGCTCGCCTTCGTTGCTCGTCAGCGCAATCTTGTCGTCCATCGTGTGCGCGTGGGATGCTCTTGCCAATGACTCTAGTTTGTCGAGTAAAGCTCCTGGAGTGAAGGTAGGTCGGAACGAACGGAGCGAATGTTTACAAGTGCTTTCGTAGTCGAGGCCGCTTGCAGTGTCGCCCAAACAATGTCTGCGCACCGCCGAGTCAATGCAGTTCACCGCACCGCCAGAAGCAAGGATGTTCCGGTCGGGTGGCTGGTGGCAAAAATGTGTTGCGCGAGGTGGAGGTGTCTTTCACAGTGCTGAACGTGGTGCACTAGTTTCCAAGATAGGCAACGCCGCAAGCCGGTCGTTTGATGGTAGTATGCAGGTTGAAAGATGCGGTGGAGCCGGTGCTCAACGCAGGGGAGCAGAGGTGCAGGTCAGGGTCCCCTGCTTTGCGAACGGCTCGTTCCGGCCCGACGAAGACACACACTAAGCGCCATGCGGACCTAGTCTAACGATTCCCAGCCTACCTAGAAAGAGCATACAGGGCAACCCAGACCCGGGCAATTTTATTTTTTCTGGGTGTCTTGGATGAATGATGGTCGGTGGGCGGAGCGTCGATCGTAGCCGAATGCACAGTGGCACCGATCGGCCGTGTACCAAAGCGGACGTGCATCCTCCATGCGAAACACCGTTCGCCGTCCCGTCTCCCTCCGCTTCCTCCAAGTTGATTTGTCGATGCTCACTCGGTCGGGGCTCGAGCCTTGAGTCAGCCAAGGCTCAATCTTGCGCTGATCGAGGGTGTAGCAAAACGGCGTTTAGTGTGGGTCGAAACTCGATCGGCACTACGTGTGAACGTGGAGGATAGCGCCGATCCAAGCCGGCGGGACTGCATCCTGTCGATACCGCGGAATAGTCGCTCGCTATCGGTTGGGACCGCGCTCGATTCATGCTGCTGTCCTCTCCACGAACAAGCTCACTCGCCAAGTTGCGCATCGCGCACACATCGGCTAGGATCGGCGCAATGTTTGCGAGCGGATTGGCACTAGCGGATCACGCGCCGCTATCAGCGTTGTTGGCGGTGTGTGTGTGTGTCTTGCTAGTGGATCGGTACATGACTCGGCTGGTGTGGGTGCAAACAACTGTGAGCCGAGCAACACGAGGCCGATAAGCTCGTCTTTGCTCCCTTGGCGCTTAAAATTCACAGAGTGCACGTTGGCCCCCCTAAAACATGAAGCGGCTGCATGCTTTTTAGCGTCGGTTTCACTTTGCCTTATCGTCGCTTGTTTTTGCCGGTACACCACCACTGTCCGGCAGAATTTCGTAAAAACCGAAAATTTAGCGCGCTTGGTTTTTTTTTGGCCTTGGGCAGCGTTCGGGCGCTAAAAGCCGCGCGTCCAATCGACCGGGTTCGCTGCTGTCACAACCGAGATTGGCCGGCGTTGCGTGCATGACACTGCTCGTCCGCCCCGACTTCTCTGCAACGCGTGCTGTTTTTGACACCTGTCTTTCCGCACGGCTCTCGCACATCTTTTTCGAAAACAAAAAATACTTGCCGAATGTGGAAACACTAACATCGCAAAGCAAAAACAAAAGAAATCTACAGACGAGCCGAGATGGGAGCCATGGTGCTAGCGGACGAGGAGGAGGAAGCGGCGGTGTTGGCGGCGGCGGAGGCGGCGCACACGAGCAGCCACTCGTAGGTACGCTGCATCCACTGCTCCATCTTGACGGCGTCGTGGAACTTGGCATCAAACCCGAGCTGGAGCTTGATCTTGCCGTCGACCATGAGCATGCTGATCCACGGCGAGGCGTTCACCTGGCGTCCGCGGTGGGCGGCATCGGTGCGCTCGAGCCACAGCCCGCTCGCTCGTGCCGAGGGAGAGACAGGCTCAAAACGCTTGTGGATCTGAAGCGCACCTACGGACGAGAATCCAGGTGCCTGAGGTCCGATGATCTTGGCAAGTTCTTCCGCGCTAGGCGTGTGTGCGGATCGATTGGCGACTTCGATCTCGGCCCAGTGGTTCGTCAGCGCCCCCTGCGCAAAGTCGGCTACCACGGGGTACGACGAGATGCAGTGTGGCGAGACCAGATGCTTGTTCAGCTCGCTGCGGATGCTCGCAGCTACAGAAACCAGTTGAGGCAGACGATCCAAGCTGGGCTCGAGCGACTTTTGCGTGTCGACGGGGATCCAGAGAAAGACAGCGTCCGAGCCCAGAGGGGTGCGGTTGCCAGTGGCACCTTCGACTGGATCGGTGGAAAGCCACCTGCGCGCGTTGCGCACCATGCCCATCAACGCGCCAGAACTCGATGGCTTGCGCTCCGGAAACGTCTCGGCCGTTGCGAGCACCGTGGCTGCCGATGCCAGATACGTCACGCCCGACTTGACGTGCTTTCCGAACCTGATCAGCTCGCGCGCCGCGTCCGCTTCGATATCGCGCCGGATGCAGATCGTCTCGTGCTTGCGTTTGGTCCAGTTCGTGACGGGCTGCAGTGCCAGCGACTCGTCCATCTTGGCCTGAATCAGACGCAGGTTGTCACGAGCTGTCTCTGCCGCCGCTTCTTCGTCCGCCGCACTCGGCTTGTGTTGCTGCCGATACGCCGCCACCACACTCCGTGGCAGGAGGGGGAGCACATCCAGCTCGTGTTCCGAGGGGATGTAGACCGATCCGTCCGTCGAAGGCGTAGCATCGATCATGGCCTGCAGAAGCACATTGTACAGCTCCGAGATGCTGCCGCCGTCGGCAAGCGCATGCGAGACGTTCCAGACAAAGTGGGCGTTGCGATCCTTTTCGTCCGCCAGGCGCGGAAGGACGAGGTAGAGCATCGACTGTTTACCGCGCGTGGGGAGCGCTCGGTTGTACGTGTACGCGCACACCTCTTCCAAGCTCTCTGCACCGGGCTCACCGAGCCTCACCACCACCATGGTCTGCTCCACCCACCGACGTAGCGATGCCTCATCGCGAAGCACGCGGTACGTGAATGCCTGTGGCATCGACGCATCCGTGTGTGTGGTCATCTCCACCGCCACCTCGGGTCGCAGGTATCGCGTTCGAATCCACGCATCGCGCACGCGCGCCACGAGATCATCCAGCTCCCCATCGGTACCAGCAATGCCCGAACTCGCTGGATGATGCACTCGGAACGTCGCTGTCACCGAGAGCTCCGTGTGGCCGTAGGCGATGTTCTCGTTGAACGACGCGGACGCCTCGTGTCCTAGACACGCGCGCGTCCACACATCGCGCTCCGTCTGCTGCCACTCGTATGTATCTTGCGCCGACATGATGATGCGTTGTAGGACAAGCTTCTTGCTGGTGGTGATGCGGAGACAAGGTCAAGGTTGACTCGATCTCGTAGACGCGAGTAAGCTTGAATGGGCGGTCAGAACAGGATCCACTTGAAGCGCAAAGCGCAAAGCTGCGTTTGGATTACCGTTGCCCTCAACCTGCACATTTGGGTTCAGCCGACGCTCGATCGCATCTCGACAGCCTAGCAGTGGAGCCGGACACTAGCGCTCGAGGGTGTGTGGGCTCGGCAGACGAGGGCGCAGCATGCAAGTGCGATTTCGGCCGGTCGCCAAAAAAATATGCGAAGGCGGCGGTATCGGCGTGCATGGGTCTCGGTTAGCACTGTTCGACACACCACCGATTCCTGCCACAATTGCCATGGGAAAAGCGCCGTCGTCTTTCACGTTCTCCCATCCTGGTCCGAAACAGACACGAGACCGTATCTCTGGCTCGTCCCCATCCAACTGCAACACTCTGCAGGGATGTCCGTCCAGAACAACCGACGGAATCGTCCTCACAGTTGGGTTTTGCAGGTGCGCTCGCTCATCGCTCCGTCACGCGCGGTACTTTCGACCTCCGACATCGGATCCAGTGCAGGGGCTCTTCTTCGAGCCTCTTCCAGCATTCTAGTGTATGGGCGGGCTGAACGCAGGGGCATGAAAGGAACGGAACCTGTGGCTGGAGCCGCCACGCAAGCCCGTGCACTGCACTAGACTGTGGCGGTCGGAGATTTTTCGCTAGTGCGGTACCAGCGCCACCCACGATAGCTTGCCTTCAGCTTTGTTGCAGCACAACACCCGTAAAATCCCGTGCACCTCGGCATATGGCAGGCACCAAAGCCCGACTTCCATCATGCACGGCCATTTAAATACTTATTTATTTAATTAAAATAACTAAGCGGGCCCATGAATCTAGGGCTTGGCTTTCGACGGACATGCTCACAGTTCGGCCCCCGCTGCATTGGCGTGGGCAGGCAGAATTCCGGGTGAGACTGGCTCCCACACAAACTCAGGCTAGGCACGACGCTAGTCCACATCCGACTGGCACACAACAAGATGGTCAAATCGAAGAGACACTGGTAAAATTGAACAAGGAACCGACAAAGCCGAGCCTACTGCAGCTCGGGGGCAGCTAGAGCTTGGCTTGGTCTGGGCTGGTGAGACTTGCAGATGCAGCGGCAGCACGCAGCTGCGACACTACATCGTCCAAGATGCTGCGGACGAGCTTGGCGTCGAAAAAGTGCGAGTCAAAGTGGGCCTGCAGCGTCAAAGCACCGGCGTGGGTGAACATGGCAAAGCACACCGAGGCATCTGTAGTCCTACCACCCGAGCAAATGTCGACAAACTCGAGGTACTCCTCCGCAGGCTGCTCCAGCTGAAGCTTGTTGGAGGCACCCTGGGCCGTGTAGAATCGCTTGACGGGGATGACTCCCTGCGAAGTCAGTGTAGGAGGGCAGACCACCGGCGAGGTTTCCGAAAGTGCTAAGCGCCAGTCCGTCCCTGCTTGTCGTTGACGCTCGGCCGCTTGGGCAAGCTGCGACGAAACTTGCTCTCCGAGATCCGGCATGGCACCAATGATGTGCGGTGTGTCGAGAAAGTCGTCTTGCTTTTGGCGAATCGTGCGCGCGAGTGCAAAGAGTCCTGCCTCGTCCAGGTTGCTTCCGCGCTGTCCTGGCTGCAGCTCTTCGGGAGACAAGTATCCCGAACCGAGCACAATCGCCATGTTGACTGGCGAGCGCTCCATGAACGTCTCCGCCGGCATCCATCGACTTGCATGCGCAGAGTACGCAAGGTTGGCACCCAGCGCAGCGCCATCAGAGCCCGTGCTCGACCCGCAGCGTCGATCAATGCTGTTCACAATGCATGCATACACGAGCGAAGGCACGCTCGCTCCGTTCTTCTTGCAGGCGCGCTTGAGGTTCTGATTATCCGCCGCCTTGATTCGCGATCGCAAGTTGAGCATCGACATGTGCACACCATCGTAGGTGCCGAGAGAGTATGCAGGCTTTGCGCTGGGTGCTTCGAATCGAGGAATGCCGATCGACGGCTGAGCACCGTTGGCCAGCTTCTCACCCACCTTGTGGAAGCCCGCTGCGATCTCCGATGCGCCCGGCTGGAACTTGTCCGCATAGGCGGTGTTGAGGCTCTGCGGAAGCTTCGCAAGCGATTCGGACAGCTCTTCGGGCTTGAACATGGCCGCGAGCGCAGCCCCAGCATCCTGATGCTGCCTGATCGCGTCCGAGATGCGCGGGTTGAGGAGCGCCTCGAAAATCAACTCGCCCTGGAAGAGCGCCCGATGGCCGTTGAGCACGTGAGAGGCATTGACGATGAGACCGGAAGCTCCGTAGAGCGGATCGCAAACGAGGTAGACGTGGAACTGCTTGCCGACCGGCTCGATGCGACGGTTAGAAAGGCGATCGACCATCTGCTGAACAGTAGTGCCGTCGTTGACGACGACGGCGGTGTCGTGAAGCCACTGTTGAGCCTGCTCGAGCGATCGGATGGGCTGCCACAGCGCATGATCGAGGTCAAGCTCCGCGCTCTGGTCATTGGTCACTGTCCAGGTTCCGAGCTCTGGCAGTCGAGTGCGAACAGACCAAAGGGCAAGTGGTAAGCGCTCGCACAGAGTCTCTGATGCAATGCCTGTCTCGAAGAGCAGAGCAATCGTGAGTTGGAACTGCATGGTCGATGTAGTCACAAAATCGAGCGTGTGTCAAAATCAGTATGCAAGCTCGTCGAAGTCACGCTTGCTAAGGACGCGTGCACGTACGTTTCCGTTCTGGTAGTATTCTGTGTAGTTGAGCACCTTCTCCACACCGACGAGCGGCCTCTTGGCGAGGTCCGGAGAGACTTGGCTCCAAGGCTGATTTTCGTCCGTCGTCATGTTGGAAAGGGTGGAGCGGGCGTATCTGTAAGGTGTTGGTGGTGGTGGTGGTGGTGGTGGTGGTGGTGGTGGTGGTGGCGGCGTTGGTGGCGGATGGGAGTGTTAAGGATCCGGGAGCAGCTCGAAAAAGAAATCAAGCGTCGGGGCAAGTATGCAGGGTCCGGAAGCGGCTGGGGCACGGCCAAGGCGAGGCAGACCTGATCGGGTCCAGCTTGAGTGCACTTGTTGGATGCGACCCCGATGTGAGTCTCCAGTCTGGATCAAAGCGAGGAGCAGAAGAGTGCTGGTCGGTACGGCGTGCAGATGCAGGCGGTAAAAGTGGGGAGGCATCGTCAAGGTGGGCAGGTGGGCAGGTTGGCGACGCTTCGTTGGGCTCGCGTATCTCGTGCTGGTTGTTTGGTGCGGCGTCTCAAAAACTTGGCAAGGTGGTTTAGGCGCTGCAGCTCGGATCGAAGAGCGAGCAGCGCTACCAGCGCTCGGCGTTGAGTTTCTGATTCGCCAAATTCTACGCGAGCCGCTAAGCACCAAATGTACAAATCTGTCACGCTGTCACTCACCGCACGCTCGGCGCCAATCATCGTGCAGCGATACAACACTACTTTACTGGATCGCGAGCCGGACGAGCAGCACACTCACATACGACTCTCTCAAGCAGTCGGAAAGCAGGTCAGCGTTGTGTACGCACAAAGTGTAACGAGGTGTTCCCACGCTTGGCTCAGTAAATTTAGACGGAGGAGCATCGTCCGTTCCGGCTTGAGCCGCCTTTCACGATCCTAGTCGACGCCGTTCTGACACGCTATCGCTTAGTCTGTTCGATGACGAGTAAATGTCATCGAGAGCATATGCTTTTCGCGACATCGGCACCCATGCGGTCCGCAGTCGTATCGCTAGCTCGCACAAAAGAGCAAAGTCATCGATGCTTTCTGCCGGGCACGTGTGGCAGTTTCCAGCCTAGCAAGCCGGTTTCGACACTATCGGTACAGGTGCAGCTCGAGCTGGAACGAGGTGGCGGCATCTGCACGATCTCATGCTAGAGCTGCTGCCACGCCGAGCACCACCACCACGATGCGCCCGCTCTCCGGCCTGAAATAGCACCTACGCTGAAAATCTGGGTGAGCCACAGGCATCGCTGAGCATAATTAGCCTCTTCTGGATCTATCTAATTTTTTTAATATTTTTTATTTTATTTTTTTGGCGCACAAAGTAAAAAAGAAAGAGGCGGGTTTTGTGCAAGCTGTTTGACGGTGCACGGCCTGCATTGCATAGCAGGGCCGCGGGTGGCGGCAGCCACCTGTGCAAAGGCGCATTGCTGACCATCATGGTGCTCGACTTGATGCACGCAGGATCGGCTACACTCCCACAGTAGCACCACAACAGTCGGAGCCCACCGCTAGCTGCTTCGCGGTGTGAGACACGCCGCGCAGCACTTCCTCGCGCCAGAAGAGGCAATGATGTTGGTGCGGCCACAGCGGCCAGCTCTGTCACTGCTAGCCTCTCTCTGACACGGCACATCGTCGCCTCACCCCGACATCCATGGATCGGCAGTCTGCATTGTCTCGGGATTCGCGCATCCGTACCGGCCCTTTGACCAGTACCGCCACCGATGCCGAGCCGTCGTCGTGCAGAAATCAAAGGTACGCCTGGTCCAGTCCGCTGCCAATGCGAACCCTTATCGCCGTCGCTCGCCCACTCTGCAGACGTCAATTCGAAGCTCGTTCTGTCAAGGGAAATCTTCGACCGTCTTTCACGCCCGCTTTGCCGCCCGCCGAGCTCTCCGAGCCCGTGGATTCCCGGCCTACTTTGCAGTAGCACGTCACCGACTCAATGCAGTGATAGCATCCTCTAGCACGTATTCTACTTTCAGCTTCAACTGTATCAGCGTACATAGGCTATTGAGCGCACGTTCATCGCATCGTACGGATGCTCGTCGTGGCTGGGTCGAAGAGAGGCGGCGGCCGCGGGTCCTGCCACCTGAATGCAGTGTACAAACGCTCGCCCTGCTATCCTGCAGCGACGAAGGGTCCTTCCTGCAAGCGAGACCGAACCTCGCTCGCCTACTAGCTGCAAATAGTGTCCGCTTCCTGCCGTGTCCTACCGCTGCTTCGCTTACCTGCTTCCTGCCACATCTTTCCTGGCAGCTCTCCCGCTTAGTGCCTTCACGGCATGCAAAACAGTGTTCCAACACTGGCCGCCGACTCCCCGCCTTCCATACGAACGCTTTTCGGCTATTTGTATCGCTGGCTTATCCCGTACATAAAAACACTCGTTCGCGGCGCTCATTACGTTTCAACCCCTCAACCAAGCTCGAGATCCTTTGCATACCCTGGACCTTCTCCCCCTCCCTGGAACCTTTGATCAGTTATCGACGCACTTCTCTTTCCCAATTGCATCTCGTTTCCTACGGCCCCTCTGTCACAAAGCATTTCAAAAGCATATCGCTCAAGCAAATATGAAGATCGCTCTCCTCGCCAACCCGGCACGCGGCGAGATCAACGTCCTTTTGGCAACCGCCTACGAGCTCATCCGACTTGGCCACGATGTCATCTTCCTCACCGGCTCGTCCTTCCGCAACGCCATCGCCGAGTTCAGGGAGGAGCAGAATGACAAAGTCCTCGCATCACGCATTCACTTCTCCGACCTCGGGACCGCAAAGGCATTCGAAGATTTGTACGTCCAAACCTTGAAAGACAAGACATGAGAGACGATGTCTTGCAGCTGGCTGACCATCGCGCACCGTTGTCCATTCTCTGATCATGCAGCACTCGCGGTATGCAGTCGCACCTCAAGGGGTTAAGGAAACCACCCGGAGACTACAGCAGCATGGAGATTTGCCAGATCGTAGCACTCGTTACCGAGCAAGAGTTCCGCGAAGCCGCCACCCTGGTTCGTGACCGGTTGCTCGAGCTGGAACCGGACATGATCGCCGTGGACGCCCTGTCCCCCAACCTCGTAACCGGCTGCCGCATGACCGGCCTGCCTTGGATGTTCACCGTTCCCTGCTCGCCTTCTCTTACGGCTACCCGCAAGAGTCTTTTTGACCCTCATCCGATGGGTCGCAGGCGACAGCGTACCTTGATGTCTGCGCTCGAAAGTGAGTATTCGGAACACAGACCCCACACCTGCATCGATTGATCCAGTGACCAACTCCTTGACGTATCCATCCCATCCCCTCACAGACCTCAAATTGACGATCCGCGAGACTTACGGCAATGCCATCAAGAGGGACCTCTACGCGCGAAGAGCGCTGCTCAAGAAAGAGTTTGGCCTCAGCTCAATGGGCTTCAACGCCGACAGTGCCATTGTGCCGCCCCTCTGGAAGGATCGCAACTGTGTCGGCGGCATTCACTTCAACACTCCAGGTCTGTGGGACTCGATTCGACAGCCGCATCAGATCACGTTTGTCGGTTGCGGTGTCACCAGCGACCCGGAAAACCACTCGCCGAGCCAGGCCAGCACGCCTATCTCGGAAGTCGCAGCTTGGAGCCCGTTGAGTAAGCTGTCGACTTCCTTCGATCATTCTGGCCAAGGCGAGCGCGACCTGGACGTCGAGTGGATGGATGCTGCCTACGCCGCCGGCGAGTCGGTCGTCTACCTCAACATGGGAAGCATGTTCCTGTGGACCGACGACGAAGTTCGAGCGTGTCTGCGCGCGTTCGAGCGGCTCCACCGTGAAAGCGGCGGTAAGATTAAGCTTCTCTTCAAGCTCAACAAGCCGAAGCGCAACCCGGGCAGTCCAGGATTCACCTCGCCGCTCAACACGCCCACCGCCGTGGCGACGCCCAAATGGGACGAGAAGCGTCCCATCGATTCCAGACGACCGAGCGGCGTGTCGACGCTCATCGTGGCCGAGAAGCTCAGCGAGGCCATCAAGAACGTCAAGCCGAAGCGCAAGACCGATGCGGAGAAGGGCTACTCGCAGTTTACGCTCTCCGAGTTCGAAGGGCTCGAGTACGTGCGCTTCACACGCTGGGTACACGACCCGCGTCGCATCTACAAGCACCCGGCTCTTCGCGTCGTCATTCACCACGGCGGCGGCAACTCGTTCAACGAGGCAGTACACTACGGGCTGCCGCAGATGATCCTGTCGCAGTGGTTCGACACGCACGAGTATGCCATCCTCGCCGAGCGCTTCGGGATCGGCCTGCGTAGCAAGCACGCGCCTTTTGTGGACGAGGACGACCTGTTTGCCAAGATGCTCCGCCTGCTCCGAGGCCCCGAGGCAGACAAGATCCAGGCCAATGCCAAGATCTGGTCGACGCGAAGTCGCAACGCCGGCGGTGCTCCCGCTGCTGCAAGGCTCCTCGAGACTCATGCTCTTCTCTTTCGCCAGCGCAAGCAAACACGCGATCAGACGTCCACCGCCAAGACGAGCACGAGCCTAGATGCCACCGAAGTCGCTACTCCGACCTGTACCGACACCGAGGCCAGCTTGTCGCCCAAGATCCTGTCCAGCGCCGCTTCCACTGTCACCAACCCCTAAACGCCTTGTCCTGATTAAACTGCTGTCGCTCTGTCACCGATACCTTTTGTAAAGCTGCATCTGCATAATAGAGCTTTTCCACTGTCACGGCTCAGTACTTCGACTGTTGTGCCCGATGCGATGCTCCTCGGTCTTGCGCTATCTGATTCTCGTAGAGTGGGCCTCTCATTCCGTTGCCAGTACTAATGCAACACACCAAAGAGCTGGGGAGACGGGCCGTATTGGATTGCATAGGGGTACAACGGGCGTGAATGGCACAAAGCCTACTACCACTGAGGGAACCAAACCTTGTCCGAAGTGTCGATGAGATGGTCGAGCATCTCGACGCGCGGCATGACTGTTCCGAAGAGCTTGTCAAAGATTCTAGTTTGCTTGCCGTAGTTTCCGGACTTCTTCCATCCGTTCGAGTGATGGAGGTCGTGATCCTCAATCACAATGTCCATATCGAGCTTGGCAAGAGGCAGGCAGTCGAATGCGGGCGAGGTGCCGGCACAGCGGATGCCCGAGTGACCCATGAGCTCGAGCATCTCGACGTACGACCAGCACAGCATCCAGTCGTAGAAGCCCATGGGTAGCACGAGCCGCACCGTCAGATGCGCCAGCAGCGGGATCACCAGCACATCGCCCCACTCCTGGACCGAGTCGGCGTAAAGCGCCAACACCGTTGTCGGCAACTTCGCCGTGTGGTGAGTGCGGTGCAGCCTCCAGAGCGTCTCGGATTCGTGCATGGCGCGGTGGTACCAGTAGAACCAGAAGTCGACGGCGATGGCAAAGGCGGGAATGAGCACCGGAAGCCAAGGGGACAGCGTCATGTCTTGGCTGGGGTCGTAACACAGCAATGTCGCCGCAACGGGACGCAGGAAGCCAGTCATGGCGAGGGACTGCAACACCTCACGAACGCGATGGTCCGGGATGCCGTCGCGCGACTTGTGCGGCTGAAGGAATCCGATGCGCTGTGCAACGGTTCGAGTGCTGTGGATGACATTGATACCGTACAGCGCGACGTACGTGCCCCAGAAGAGCATGTTGGTTAGCAAGCCAAAGTTGTGGCCCGTGAAGTGGGCATAGGCATACTGAAGCGCGAAAGCAGCACCGAAGCGCGGCCAAATGAAAATGTGCGCGCTAAGGTTGCTCCAAACGGGGATGGGGTCGTCCTTGTCGTGCACAATCGTCGTCGATGCGGGCGGGAGCGGGTCGATGTCGATCAAGTGGATGAGCCAATGGAAGAAGCCCCAGCCGTGCTTATCGTCTTGACGGTGCCATGTGGACTTGAGTGGGCCCTGCGATGGACGGACTGGTTGCGGCGAGTGCGTTTTGCCCTTGGAAGACGCAGGCGCAGCTTGCACTCGTGTAGCGACCATGTTGGAGATCTGGCGAGTCGGTGGTCAAATGGCTCGGTGGCGAGGATGACTGCTGCGCGACTATAGTACTCGACACGAGCAAGCGTGCTTTATATACACCAAGCTCGTTGGACGAGCCAAGGCAAGGGCGAGGCGCAAAGAAGTGCTCGCTCTCGAAGTTGGGAAGACAGCATGAGGCATGTGAAAAAAGGAGGCGCGATACGTCGCTTGGTCAAGCTCGCTCTTCGCGTACAAGTGACAGCTTGTGGAGGTGGTGCATGAATTTGCCGACGCCAGCGTCCAAGATATTGCCGCAGAGCCAGGGTCCAAGCTGACGCCAAGAGTCCGCCAGCGCTGTCAGTCAAAGTTAGTAGCTACCGCACACAGAAAGGACGGAGACGAATTGGCCGAAAAACAACGGCCGACCTAACCTGCTGCAGCGCTCGAGAGTCCAGGTGTTCGGCGGCAGGCTTGACGATAGGCGTGACAGTGGCCTGCAGTCTTGCTCGGTGCGCGTCGCTGTCGTCTTGATGGCCAGGGGCTGAAGACTGTTCCGGACGTCGTCGAGAGAGAGGCTGTCACCTTGCCAAGATTGGTCATGCCCCAGCGTAGGGCGCTGGCGTGTATGCTTAGAAAGCTGGCGAGTCGATCCCGCCTGTTGCAGGCGCTGGGCGACGAGGACACAAAGTCGAGATGAAGAGCTCGAGCGAGACGGAATGAATGTTGTTGACGACCTCGAGCGCGCATGTCGTTGTCGAGGCGGGGCTCTTTGATCGCTGAAGAGACCTGCGCGAGCATTTGCCTCGAGCCTGGCGCCGTTGGCATGGCGGCTGCGCCGGTGGACGGTCAGAGGAGCTCGATGACGGCTCGTCAACGTCCGAAGGCAGCTGGACGATCTCGATGCTTGGGCCCCGGCGTCTGCTTGGCAGGACTGGCACGCTAGCATTTGGACAAGGACATCCGAAATACCGCAACTACCGCTCACGCTCTTGCGTTTTGAATGGCTCTGCATCGCGTCATGTCTGCCGAAGACGTAGGTGGAGTGAATTACTATCTCGGCCGCCAAGCGTGTGCCCTACGTTGGGGCTATTCGGTCGGACGGGAGGCTGGTCGGGCGTTGCGTCGCTAGAGATATTCGTGATTCGGCCAGCCACTTATGATACTGCCCACGCAGGGTCCGAAATGGAGGCGCCAGAGGCACGCGCTTCTTGCATCCAAGTTATCTTCCACTTCAGCTACTTGAGCTTCCATTGACATATCCCTGGAGTGGATTTTGGCTGTCCGGCAGTTGAGCGAGCTGAGCTTAGTCGCGCAGACCTGGGTCGAGGAGATCGTCCCAACCATGCACGGTGCCGTGGTTGTCGTCGCTATCGAGCTCGGTGTGATCCCTATGGAGCTCGCTGCCCGGGCTGCGAGGGTCAGAGGAGCTGGCCACCGCCGCCGCCTGCTCTGGCGCAGCGGAGCTAGCGACCGGCTCGTGGATGCGGCAAGGCGGCTGCTGGCCCCACTGCTCCGGCGTCCGGATGATGGCAGTGACGCTGCCCGCCTCCACTGTGCCGACGTTGTTTGGGCTGAAGTTGGCGACGAGATGCGGACACCTGCTCGCGATCTCGCCATTGACCATCCAGCGCTGGACGCTACCGGGAAAAGGCATCATCGCAACGCTGGATGTTGGCCAACAGACTCGGCCCGTCCGTCTGGACCCCGTCTTGGTCGGCGTCGGCGACGGCGCCACGGCGCTGGCACGGCGCTGCTCGAGCCGAGTATCGATCTCGCGCTGAGCATTGTGCAGCTCAAGCGGGCGCCAAGGAGGCGCGACGACGACGATGGCATGTGCGTGGCCATCCCCACCGCCATCCGAGCCTGCGTGGTGCTGGGAGCCGGTTTGGCTCTCCTCCTCGGCCTCGGAGACTTCGGCGCTCATCGCCTCCCTGATGGCGGCAAAGTCAAACCCGTGAAATCGACGCCGCAGCTCCTCATCGCCAGTTAGGTACTTCGAGCGCCGCTTCCTCTTCTTTTGAGCTCGCGTGCTCTGGCGGCGCCTCGAATCCCTCGCTGCAGCAACGTTTGGTTGTGTGGCGAGACGCTTCTGCTGGCGGTAGCGTGCGAAGAGGCTCGAAAAGCTCGCAAAGTAGACCTGGACACCTGCATCGTGGCTGCCATGCGCCTTGATGCGATCGTGAGCGCTGCGATGCGAGCGCTCAAGCTCGCAGACGATGTCCTCGACGAGTTCGGCATACCAAGAGTGTTCACGAAGCACGCGAGCCGGATTGCGAGGAAGACCGCGCTCGAGACTCTATCGCTGACCAAGCCTTGCTCTGAGGGCTGGATCTCCCTAGGCCAGATGGTTGATGCTGCAGCCGCAACCGCCGCCGCCCTCACTTCTTATTGGCCTTCCCTACCTTACAAAGTGTTCACGCGCCGATACGGTCTGATGCGAGAACAGGAAACGACCGCAACGCGTCGATCTCAGCCCTCTCACGTCGCCTCTCAGGTCGCAGCTGGATGGTTCACTCATGCCCTCGACAGTAAACGAGGCCACAGTCCAGAGCAACACCGGAGGTAACATTGCATATTGCAGCCCTTCACCAATTCACTCGGGCCAGGGCGCATGTGGGCCAACAAAGGCAAACCGGAAAGCGACGACACGGCTCGCTTCCTTGTGCGTCGGGAAGTGGGAACTGCGCCATATGAAATGTGACGATTATAAACCAAAGTGCGCGAGCTGCGGCAGCCGAGCAGCAGCAGCAGCAGCGACGAGCGCGTCGACAGGGATGCTAACTGAATCAGACTGCGTGGGAGCCAATGTGACTGTTGGCGACCAGCATTTGAACACGCACACCAACGTGCGACTTTACAGAAGTAGCTCGATGGTCCCCGCCAGTCTCGCTCCGCAGCCCAAAGGCACGGAAGCCTCTGCCAAGATGCTGGCTTTGTCCCAACTCGATCCGCAGACCCGCTGACAACAGAACCGCGAGCATGGCTCGGACACGCAGAAGCACCCCAACAATGTGACTGTTTGGATCTTGACCGATCTCGAGACGCACGACAACGCGCGGATGCCCGCTACGAACTGCGTGCGCCTGCCGGTGCTCTGCTATTCAATGGTGCAGGACGATGTGGATACGATCTCCTCCTCACCCTGCCGTTGCTTCTCGGTGGTGCACCGCTTCTCCATGAGGCCCTCTTCCTGCATGAGGCGACGATTGGCCTTCTCGGCATCCCGGCGCCACTTTTCTTCTCCAGCTCAATCTGCTCGGTTGCCTTGCAGAGGCGCTCCTCGATGACGGGACGCCGCTAATGGTTGACCGGCACGATGCAATGGGGCCGCTTCCTGATCTTCAGGTTGGCGGTCTGCTTCTCCTTGGACGTCTCGAGCCGCCCGCATCGGGTGTTTGTGTTTTGCTCCCTTGCACCGGCGCACGAGGTGGGCCGAGATGATCGCCCTGACACATGCACGCCATGCATGCTCCGCGCGCGTTTCTTGCTGAAGTTTGCTCGCTCAGCTCTCTTTGGTCGAACGGTCTAACCTCTCTGTGCATAGTCTCTTGGCCATCGCCGCAGCTCCAGAGAGCCACTGTTCCGCGGCAAATTCCTACAGCCGCACGGCCGAACTTGGTCATTCTGGCAGCCGCCTATCCGTTCTATCCTCTCGATCCCCTGTTCGACACTGCGCTGTCGCTATCACAGGCGCGCGTTCAATCTGCTCGGTCAATCTACTTTGTCGGCCCCGCCCACCGACATCAATGCAGCTTTAGGCGGAGCGCGCGCGCAACCGCGTCGGGATCGAGCTCCAGCCAGGTTTATAAGCGCCCGATACTTCGCCAGCACCCCCACCTGCACCGTGTACAAATGCCAGTGCCATCCAACATTCTCTGCTCTCTACGCTAACATGTCTCGTGTTGGAATGGCTCGTTGACCTATGTTGCCGCCTGCCCCGGTTGGTGCGCCTTTGTATGGTTTTGCAGCTGGCTTGGCGCTGCTGAGCAACGCGTGCAGCTGCGGCGCGACCCGGCTAACATTCAATCACTGCGTTGAATTTTATCTACAAGGGAGAAGTGACGGCCTAACAAAAACCCTTTTTTTCCTTGCCCGGAGCTCGACGCGGAAGTCGGGTACCAGGAATTTAGCTAGAGGGAAAGCATCTTGCGGCCTAACAATTGAACTATTTCGCCATGCGGGTCGGAACCGTGCGAAGTCGCAGAAGACCCTCGTAAGCCCGACCAACGTCTGCAACCTTGCTTCCGCAGCATCATCATCCATTGCGCAGCAGCAGCAACAATCACAGCAACGGCGCTCCGAGTCTCACGCTGCACAGCCATCCCGTTGCATAGTCATCCACCATGGCCGAGACGGCAGGTACATCCGCCTCGACACCCTCGGCGAGGAAGCCGCGCGGAGCCAATCCTTCGGCCGACTACAAGTCGCTCTTCCTCAAGTCCAAGGACAAGTACGACCGCGTCTCGACCGACCACACCGACCTCGTAGCCAACGTGGGCAAGGCCGCGCTCAAGCAGCAGAAGCTACGCGAGGAGCTCGACTTTCTTCTGGACGCCATCGCGTCCAAGCAGGCGCAGCGCGTTCGCATCGAGCAGGCGCATCGCGACCGTGCGCTCGAGCTCGAGCGCGAAGCAGCCGCCGCAGTAGCTGCTGCTGCAGCTGCCAGACAACACGCAAGCTCTCTCGGCAGCAGGGATGCCAAGCGCGATCGTGGCGCGTATGACTCGCGCTATCACGCTAGCGCGGACGACTACAGGCCCTACTCGGCGCGGTATGCAGACCAAGCGTCGTACGCGGCATACGAATCGACTGACCGCACAAGGTACGCCTCGCCACCTCCGCATCCATCACGTGCTGTAGCCGGCAGCGCATCCTCCCAAAGAGGCGACGCGTATCCCGCGTCTGAGACCACCTCGCCTCCGCGTGCACTGCCTCGCGATCCGTATGCGCCGGCATCCTACCGCCACCCCACTTCGCAATCGCCTCCTGTGGCGCATCGAGCGCGTGCATACGACCAGCAATCTCCGCCTCTCCGTCACGAAGCACACCACGCATATCGCGAGTCTACACCGCCCCTGCCGCCACCAGCAGCAGTCGCATCTTCGGCAGGCGCTGCCGTCAAGAGGCCAAGGCCGACATCCGTCGAGCGAGAACTACTCGAAACCGAACAAGGCTACGACCAAGATTCACGCCATCGCACACATCACACCAAGCGAGCCAGGAACGACTGATCACTGTCAAGCCTGGTGCACACGCTCATACCCATGCAGCTTCTCCTTGTACTCTACCCTTTCTCCATCAACGCTGCCGCCAACCTTCTTGGCCACATTTGCAGCGCCAACCTGGCGCAGCTCTTCTTCCGCGCTCGGATTATGATCGTGTGGTGGCCTCGATCGCATGATCGACTTGAAGAAGGAGTCGTGAGACTTGCGAATAACTGCTCGCTGCAGTTTCATTACATCTCAAGGGGCTCCAGGGGCGCTCCTGGTGGGACCGTGCATCACAGACAATCTCAGACTCTCTCATGTCAGGCAAAGGCGGTTTTGGAAACCCTTGGACGAGTCGAGACACGTGTAGCAATGAGCATGTACGCGCACTCGAAATGCACGCGCCTCTGCATGATCATCTCGGACCAACCCACCTCGCCATGCGATTATGTGCATGCAAACAAGTCCCTCATGGCAGCCGAGGGGGCCAAGGTGGGTGCTGCCACTTTTGAGCTCATGTGGCCCCACGCATTGGGTGCGTGCCACAAGGCTGCACTGGCGTCGCACTCTGTCAGCCACACAATCCACTATGCAGAGAGATGCTGCGCCCATTGTTCATTCTTAGGTGGCTGCTTGCCACATTTGGTGGGTATCTTTGACAGCATACGGTGAAGAACGTCAAGAGACCCTTGAAGCTTCTGCCATGCTCCGTCTTTCATCCCCCAACCTAGATCCGTCGTCGGCTTAGTGTCGAGCACGACTGCAACAGCGTTTCGATTCGACGACTGGCGATGGCGGCACAAGCGGGCTACTACGCTGGCGCGCGCAACGACGAGGATTCGCATCAGCCAACTTTGCACGTTGCCACCACGGGCCCGGCTGGTGGACCCGTGCGTTGCGGCTCGTTCTCCGATACCGACAGCTCCAACGGTAGTGCACATCCACTACACCATACGCCTGAACACGGCGCCGGCCACTTGCCCTTCCCATCGGGGCCGCATGGCGACATGTACTCGGATGCATCATCGTCGGCCCACTCGCGGCCACCTGCCAGCAGCCAGACCCACACCTCGCAGGACAAGTTCCGAGCAGTCGCCTGGCTCTACGACTACGATGGCTCTGCCGAGGCGGATGACTGGCTGCATGTGCCCGGCGTAGAACGCAAAAAGAAGATCTCGGAACGACTATGCGGATGCTGCAACATCAGCTTCCTCGGATTTCTCAACTTGGCGACGCTCGCGCTCATCTCGTGCTCGCTCATGATGCTCTTTGCCGGCTATCCCATCCTGCAATTCTTCCGCAAGGCCGATGCGGACCGCAAGGCCAAGACGTTCTTCGGACTCGGCGGCACCAATGGTACGGGCCAGGTGCCGCTGCTGCCCGGCCTCTTCTCGTTGATCGATCAAGATACCCCCGAGAAGGCGTACAACTGGAAGCACCCCATCGACGGCGGAGGATTCCATCTGGTATTCAGCGACGAGTTCAACCAGGACGGACGCACGTTCTGGCCGGGCGACGATCCGTTCTGGGAGGCGGTGGATCTGCACTACTGGGTCACGGGCGACTTTGAATGGTACTCGCCCGAGGCGGTCAACACCTCGAGCGGCTTCTTGAACGTCTGGATGCAAGAACACGAGACGCACAACCTCAACTTTCGCTCGGGTATGCTGCAGTCGTGGAACAAGTTCTGCTTCCAGGGCGGCTACCTCGAGACGTCGGCTGTGCTGCCTGGAACGCACGATACCGAGGGCTTCTGGCCCGCCGTCTGGACGCTCGGCAACCTCGGCCGCGCCGGTTATGCAGGTACCACACAGGGGATGTGGCCGTACAGCTACAACAAGTGCGACGTGGGCACGCTCGCCAACCAGACCAACCCGGAAAAGACCGCACCCTACTCGGCACTGCATACCTACACGCCCTACGACCAGAACGGCCCGGGAAAGAAGATCAGCTACCTCGAAGGTCAGCGCGTGTCGGCATGCACTTGTCCTGGTGAAGACCATCCTGGTCCATCGCACGACATTGGACGCTCTTCTCCCGAGATCGACGTTTTTGAAGCGCAGACCTACATGGGCCACGGCAGTGCATCCCAATCATTCCAGATCGCACCGTTCGATGCGAATTACTCGTGGAGCCAAGCGCCCGAGGTAGCGCACCTCTACTTGCCGGACACTACCTTCAACACCTACACGGGAGGCATCTACCAGGAAGCCGTCTCGGCCATCTCGCGCGTCCCCGACACGGCCTACGATCAATCCGGCGGGATCCCCGTGCGCTTTGGTATGCAGTGGGATCCCGACTGGGACGGCGATGGTTCCGGCAGCATCACGTGGTTCGTCGATGGCAAACCCACTTGGTCCGTCACAGGACACGCGCTCGGTCCCAATCCGTACACCGAGATCGGCCAACGACTCATTCCCACCGAGCCGGTGTCGATCATCATCAACCTCGCCATGTCCGACGGCTTCCAGGCGGTCAAGTGGAATCAGGTCCAGTTCCCCGCCGTCATGAAGATCGACTATGTGCGTGTGTATCAGCGCGACGGCCAGCCGGATCGCATCTCGTGCGATCCCCCAGACCACCCCACCGCAAAGTACATCCAGGACCACCTCGACGTCTACATGAACAACAACTATACCGTCTTTCCGCAGGACAAGTACGGGTGAGTACGGCGCATCCCTCGCTACTTCGCCTGAGATCCAGACTAGAGTGCTGACAATGTTGTTGTTTGGGGCGTGTTGCAGATGGCCAAAGAGCAAGTACTTGGGCGAGTGCTAGTCCATCACCCCGCAGTCGTTTTTGCAATCTAGACAGTCTCTCTCTCTCTCGTGATGGCAGCTACCTTGAGTGACTACCGTCAACATCAACTTTGATGGGCTGGGCAATGGCAGAGGCATTGTTGCGTTGAGATACGAAAGGAAAAGACCAAAAAGGAAAACTGCAGCACCTAGGATTCCCGCGTGGTCCCCCACCGCAGTACTGACTAGGCGATACCTTGCTTAACTTCGCAGATCGGACGGGATGCGGTG